ATAGATATATATAGATATATATATATATAAATAAAACTACAAAGGAGTTTGCAGAAAGGCTGAAGTTTACGTAGAGTGAGCACAATAACGTACGCTCGCAACTGCATAAGGTCATATGAACGCCAGAAGGTTATATGTGTTACAAGAGAGTAACAAACATAAAAAAGGAGGGGAGATAAGGACGATATATGTTTGATAGGAAAGAAGGAGCAAACCAAACCAGAGCACCCGCCAACTACCCACGTACGCCCATCGTTCAACAGAAAGCAGACAATGACAGCAGAAATACTTTCTTTAAAGAATAAGGAGTAGACCATACCGTAACACCCACCAATTACAAGCACACACGTTAGACAAAAAGACGTAACATTAATGAGTAGCTACATGTAATCAGACAAAGACAGGCATTACAAAGACACAAACACACGTGGAATTCAAACAAAGTAATAATCATCACAGCCTAGGGGAATCCTGGGGACTGAGGGTCACAGAAAGACAGTAAGAAGTGGGACGACTTCTTCGTGACTCACCACTGTAGGCTTCCGGAGGGTAGAGAGTGGGGAATCCGCCCACCACGTGCGTGTGATGGTGTGTGTGCACGTGCCTCTGGGTGGGTGGTGAGTTCGTGTACTCCCGTTGCTTTTCCTTAATCTTATCCGCGGATCCAGGGGTGGGGGGCCCTCCAGATCCACTGCCAGACCCAGTCTCGCCGGCACCGCCGCCCCCACCACTACCCGACTTAGACGGGGTGGGTGAGCGGATGCCAGGGCTAGGTCGGCCTTTCTCTTGAAGTTCGTGAATTTTGTGGACTGGAGGAGCCCCCAACCCGCCGGACGAGGAAGGAACGCCACTGCCAACAAGTACTCCTCCGCTGACGTCACTGGGCGAAGCGATGACGCCTGCTCCACCGGCGGCGCCGCCTTTGACACTATCCACAGGGTCCAGTAATCCTCCAGGAGGTCCACCGCTCTTGCCGCCGACACCCGCCGCCGTGGCGTCCGAGGGCGTCACTTTTCCGTCGACGTCGACAGGTCCGGGCATGCGATATCCAATCTGTGAAGGGTGGATGTAAGGCCCCGGTGGGGCACCGGCGTATCCGATAATATGATGATTCAGCGCCCTGTACATCGGGTGGGGCGGGTAGTAGGACGCATAAGGAAAACCAGCCCCGGAGATGGGGGTGGGGGGCGTCAAGGAGTTGATCACAGCTGCTGGGTGGGTGGTTGGGAGGGACTGGGACGATAACAATGAAGCCGAAGACGATGACGGTAATGATGAGGACGACGACGAAGATGGAGCACCACCACCGCCTGGAATGTTTGCTGTGTTTGACTGACTTGGCGGTCGTGACTTGGAGTTCATGTCCAAAGAAGAGGGTGGTCTTGAACCAATCTCTTCCTTTACGTCGTACCGTTTCACGTCAGGTCCCCCAACAGAAATTCTGGAGTCAGGCCTAGAGCCGTCTTTAGAATGCACTATTTCCTTCTTGATGCTGTCGAGAGGGATCAAATCCCCGGACTTCATATCGTGCGGTCTAGAAGGGCCTGAAGAGATCATATCAGAGGGACCTTTACCCCGTTTATCCAACCGCTGTGACTGTGACTCATACAGTTTTTGTTGCTGCTGCTGCTGCTGCTGCTGGTTGTTGTTGTTGTTGTTGTTGTTGTTGTTGATGTTGTTGTTGTTGCTGCTGTTGGTGGAAGAGCTGAGCTCTCCTCAACTGATTGTGCAAATGTTGCTGTTGCTGTTGCTCTTTTATTAAATGATAATTCTGTTGGTCAGGATGGATGACTCCCATTTGCGACTTAAGTTCAATATTCTCTTTCAGAATCTGATGATTCTCACTCTGTTTGTCTCTCAGGTTTTGCTCTCCGTCCTCTACCATCCTCTTTGATTCCCCCAGATTGTCCGTGCCATGAGCTACCCCGGGCAAGCCTCCCTTAGAGCTGTCAAACCCTGGGCCACCCATGAATCTGTTGGCAGGATTTATTCCCGAAGGAGTGCGTTTCTCAGAGCTGTCATCGCCTTTACTTGCCATATCCTGCTGCTGCTGTTGTTGTTGCTGTTGTAGAAGTCTCTTCTGGTGCTCCGCGAGATGCTGTCTGAACACCGGGTCTTGCTGCGCCAAGACCTGCGCAGCGTACGGATCGAGGGAGGGGGGGTTGTAGGCAGCCATATTGTACTGTAGTTGTACAGCGGCGGGCGAGACGCCATGCAGGTGGGCGTAATAGTTAATCAAGGACTTCTGCTGAAGCTCTGCCTCCTGTTGAGCACCTGTTTTACCACCAGGGACACCGCCATCTTTCTTCTCCCCATTGGGATCGTCCCCGCGACTGGAAGGTCTACCATCTTCGCTGCCATCTTTCTTGGGTAACCCTCCTTTTGAGAGCGTTGGAGAGCCCATTTGCTGGGCTAACCCGTGTGGTAGATAGTTTGGAGGTCCTCCAAAATAATACATGTTGCTGAAATGTGCCGGAAGCGGAGCTCCATCGGGGCCTAAACCATGTTGGGGTCCGTTCAACTGGCCGTCTTTTTTCAGCGAACCGTCTTTCTTTGAGGGACTGTCCTGTTGGTCAGGAGAGCCACTATCGTTAGCGTCAGAGATGTCTGAATAGGCCGGACTGTGTACGTCTTCCGTGATTGGACTCTTCGGGTCAGAACTGCCCGCTGGTCCCACAGACAATGTGGAGGGAGGGACAGCCACTCGAGTGGTCAAGTGATGCTGATCTGGCCCACCCATACCGGAAGACATTTGGAATGGTGAAGACGTGTGCTTGGAACTGCCGAACGAGGAACTGTTTGTAACGTTCAAAGGTTTGGACGGAGTGCCAGTTGACGATTTTCTCAAAGCAGAATTGTCTTCTCTGTGGTCGTCCTGAGAACCCAGGTCGGGCGCACCGGGATCACGTGACGCAAACAGTCCTCTGCTGTCGGGAGAGCTGACGTTGACCGGCGTTATCGAGCCTGGGCTTTGGCCCTCTTTGTCCTTTTTCTTTTTTACTTTCCGATTTTTGTCTCTGTTCAGATCGGCCAACGCCGGGCTGATAGACGGATAGTCGCCCATAACGGTGGGTTTAGGTTGGATCGGTTTGAGAGATGCTGCATGCAGCGAACTCACGGAAGACAAGGCATTGGCAGCATGACCAATTGGCGACCCAATACCAGCCATTTGAGGTGAGGGAGCAGGAACGATAGGACGGGCTGATGTCACCACACCACCTTTGCTATTCGGACCTCCAGTTTTGTTACTGGAAGGACCTAATCTGTCTGCGTGAAGGGTAACGCCTAATACTGAGGTTGTGGTGGTCGCACTGGTCAACGAGGGAGGCTGTTGCTGTTGACTGGAGGAGGAAGCGGTCAGGGGCATTGTGGGAGCCGAGACCAGACCAGACGAAGCTCCCGACTGCGACACAAAGGGGACGCCGCCTAGACAGCCTGTAGGGGTGATCTGGTACACCTGGGAGGTGATGGGGGACCGGAGGGTGGTCATCACGGGCAGAGACGGGTTGATGCTGTTGCTGGATGATGACAAGGATGACGTGACGTTATTTACAGGGGCCTGGGACGAGGAGCTCTCGGAAGACGCCGAGACGGAAGAAGGCACTGAAGATGAGGACGACAAGGAAGCAGAAGCGGACGCTGATGACAATGAAGTCGACGATAAAGAGTGTGAATCTGACGATGCATTAGCATCTTTCTTCTTCCCCCCAGAAGTGGAAACCACACTTCCCGTGGCTGACTCTTTTTGTTGTAAGTGAACCGTTGTTTTGGTGAGCACCACTTGAGGGTCAATTTTGCTACCCATTGTACTGACCGCAACACTGGAACCGGACTCACTGGTGAAAACTGTCACTTCGTCTGACCCGTTTTTATTAGAACTATTATTTTCAGAGTTCTGGTTCGCTCGACAAGAGTTTGCAATCTCTTTCAGGGGAATGTCGTCGTCAATAGAATCTTTAGAGTCTCTATCAGAGTTTCTTTGCTGCTCTTTCAGTCGCTGCCTTTCCTTCGCCCTCATTCTCTCAGCCCTCTCCGACAATGTAGTCTTCTCTTTCTTCTCCGGCTTCTCCTCATCCTCCTCATCATCCTCCTCGTCTCTAACATCATCAGTGACGGAGGATTTTCGATGCGCGTGCGTACGGTGGTACCTAAGCCCATTCATGTGCTTATACTTTTTATGACAATTCGGCTCCGGACACACGATGTAGCCGTCTGTGGTGGGACTATCAGCCCCAGCTCCTCGCGAGCACGACCGACTTCTTTTGGCCTTCTCTGCTTCCGGCTCAGCCGCCCGCGCTTTCCTCTTCACGTTACAGCTGGCGATATCGGACTTAGCCGGGCTGGGAGGTGCCATGAAATTGCTGCTGTTGCTGTTCACTGTGCCTCTCCTGCCTTTCCGCAGACGACGTCCCTCTGGGAGGCGCTCATTGGTCTGCACGGAGTTCCTGCACGTGCGCTTGCCACGACCCTTGGGTGTCCTTGACTCGAAGTCACTTACTGGCGACTCGCAGCCGCTAGGTCTGAGGGAGAGATAGAGAGATAAACGATTAATTTATATATAAAACGCTAAACCCATGGTTCGCATATATTCATTTATTTTGCAGTATTTTATAATTCACAGTTGAAAAAAAACATGTTTACCCTAATACATTAATTGCAGTAGCAATATAATCTTCCTGCTTTTGCTATTACGTTTTGCTGTCGCGCTTGTTGTTTCTGTTGATGCTGCTGCTGCAGTTGGTGTTGTTGTTGTGTAAGTTACAGTTGGTTTTGCAATCTCTTTCAGGGGAATGTCGTCGCGAATGGAGTCAGCACGACAAAAGACATTTTCCGCTCTACTGTTCAGCTTGAGAAAAGACAAACACATCGCTAATGTGACGAAAAGTTTAAGAAAGTGAAAAACCAAGAAACAAGTAAAGAGGAGTACAATAACACGATGATGGTCGGACAGTGCAGGAAAGAACCGAGACGAGTTAGTTTTAGTAAGAGTTTTACGGCACTTGCAACACAATAAGTTCATATAAGTGCCGAAGATTAGAGGTGTTACAAGAGATTAACAAACACAAAAAAGAAGGAGGAGAGATAAGGACGATAGATGTTTGATAGGAAAGAAGGAGCGAACCACATCAGAGCACCCGCAAATCACCAACGAACCGAGACTGATTGACAGAAGCCACAGAGGGGACAAAAAAAAAGAAGGACCTACCAGTGGCGCCCTCCGTCAACCAACAAACACAAAACACACAGGCAGAAACAACGGAGAAACAGAGGAGGACGAAAAAAAGAAATAAGACCTACCAGTGGCACCCTCACACCACCAACATAGATACAACTATACAACAAAGAAAAGAAGAATAGTGAGACGTGGCGTAGAGCTTACACCACTCAACCATCGCATGACAGCGTGGGAAAATGGTGACCCCTGGCCTGGTGTCTGCTCTCTCTAACAGCCACATGCCCATTGAATACCCCACGGAAGTACATAATGTAAGCCGGCTGAATTACTGCTGAGCACAGTCATTCTAACAGCTTGTGTACGATAAAGATAATGGATAGCATTCATATCCCATGACCCATACTATCATTATTACACAGTGAAGAGCATCGACGTGGGCCCAGGGAAAGAGAAATACATATTGTTGTACACTTTCAGTTGTCGGAGGGTGTTACAAGAATGTCTCTTAATGCGCTGTTGGTTTCTGTCGGTCATTCGTTTACCACAACGCTTAATGTCTTTTTCAGAGTCCATGTGTTTTCCTTTCAACGCAGACAAGCAAACAAGTACGGTTCATCACTATAGTGGAAAAAAAGAATACAACGTGTTCATATGTAAAAGAAATAGGTAGGGCGTCACACTTTTTTCTTTGGTAGAGGTTTTACTGCGCTCGCAACTGCATAAGGTCATATGAGTGCAAGAAGATTTGAGGTGTTACAAAAGAGTAACAAACATAAAACAAAACAAGAAGGGGAGATAAGGACGACAGATGTTTGATAGGAAAAAAGAAGCAAACCACACCAGAGCACCCGCCAACCATCCACTTTCACACTTTTGTCTTACATAACCATGTGTAATTCACTTAACTAGGAGGCGGGAACCAAAGATCTGACATAATGTTTCCAATGGTACGTGAAAGGGAAAAAATAAGGTTGCAGACAGACAGACAGACAGACAGACAGACAGACAGACAGACAGACAGACAGACAGACGGACGGACGGACGGACGGACGGACGGACGGACGGGCGGACGGACAGGCAGAGTTCGAATTTGAGTTTAAAGCACATCTACACAATAACGATCATTTAGAGCCCGGGGAAAAGAGACACAAAACGGAAACAAAAGAGGGGTTACCACCCTCCCGCAGAGAAAGAGACAGAAGATGTAGAAGGAAGAAGAAGATGAAAAGTGAACTAAGCAGCTTAGCACTTTGGTCTATGATAAAAAGAGCGGATTTGAAAGCAATAGTTTGGGCACTTAACCACTCGAGCCCATGCATGCCTCAAGGAAATGGCACCGGACAAAATTGATACCGAATGAAAGAACGGCCCCAGATGGAGTCTTGTACAGGAAGCGGAGCGATTCTGGGGAAATCTGGAAATAAGTGGTTTTGACGTAGCCGCGGGAAGAGCCATTACAGAACATACAATTTGTTCCTTTTCATCGGCATACCCATGCAAAGACTTTATTTAGCAGGGTTTTTTTGTTGCTTTCTTTTTTTTTTTGGGGGGGGGTCTTAAGTATAATCTATTCCTGTACATATAATTTAATCTAATTAATATGCCATTAAGAGAGGACCCAAACATTACTGCCGGGGGCGGTTAATAATGTGGCGTAGAGCATCTAATCACCATATTATAATACAAAGAAATAAAACCAAAACAGCCTCAGCAACAAAATGCTCCTTTTAGTTTTAGCTCGTATTCTCATTTTTATTGATTAACGTAATCATTAAGCAAGAAAATATAATAGCCAGTGAAATGCAAGATGAGTTCACTACTTTTTTGGTTACTAATCTTATCCCTGCTCCGTTACTTTTTTGAGATGCACGTATGATGTCAAAATAGCCTGCGAGACTGTCTGCACCGAGCTATAACGAGCGTGTCACCCGCTTAAATCACGCCAAGAGCCGCTTGAAACTTTTCCCGTCACACAAGCGTCACGAAAAATGAAGGAGCTACAATGGTACACAGATCAGTCTCTCTCTCTCTCTCTCTCTCTCTC